ACTGTTATTGCTACAATTTTAAATGCTAAGTATTTTCTTCGACATATTAATAGAACGCCACCTTCTTTCAACAAATGGCGCCACTAATACTGTCTGTATAGAAAAAGTTCGGATACTTTTGGGACACACCTTGTATTCTTCCTTGAGCCATGTCTGCATTCCATTATATTACTGGGGTTGTAAATGGTGACCACATTTTGCATCGATTTTCTGAATTTCCGATTGATCTTCTGTGCCCGTCTGGTCAGAGCCGAGCACCATCGGATCTTAGCGGTTATCTCTCATCGGGTTTCGACTACTCGATACATCCGTTCATTTCCTCAGGTTGTTTAGTATTTTTTTTCTGACGTGCGACTCTTGCTCAGTGCAATGGCTTTCAAGGAGCGTTGAGGATACCATTCATGCGCTGTGAGATGTTGGCATCATTCCCGCGATATTTTCCCATGTTACCAATGAAAAGAAATGAAAAAGTTGTTGTTCGAAGAGTGCGAAATGCGGCATTTTCTTGCTTTTTGCTACAACATTGCTCATTTCATTCAATGCGCACAATGGTTGCTAATTTAATGGAATTGGCTTAAACGTTGTACATTGCGTGTGATGAGAAATAGCACAAGTGACACCAAACATATTTAGTTATGGCAGTAATACTTCCCGAATAATTTTTAATTCACAAAAATGTAGAGCTCTAACGCGATCCAATCGTTTCTCCTCATTTTTCGGGTTCCAAGAATTTGAGATTGCTCTTAAACCTAAAAACTTTTCAGGCCACATGTCAAGATTACTTCAGATTTACTGCAGATCCTTTTTTTAGGCCTCGGTGTCGAGACGAAGACTGTCAAGTTGAAAGGAAAGACAATCAAACTACAAATATGGTAAGCGTCAATTCCTTGAATGTAAATATGTGACATGAATCTCTTCGGAGAAAATTGGCTAAATACCATGATGTATCAATATAAGGGCGAGGGGTTGGTTCTATTAATATGTCGAAGAAAATACTTAGCATTTAAAATTGTAGCAATAACAGTACGACATCCCTTAAGTCAATTTCACCCGGTTAACCCTACAAGTACCAGAACCCGGATGGTCAAATATTTAACTTAGTTTCATCTCTCTATTCCCAAAGAATCTCTTCAAAATACTTTGCCTAATTACTATAACATGTCTTCATGAAAATACACGAAGTATTGGACTTCACGAGCTTACGGCGTAGCGTACTCAAACGGCTAAATGTTCGTAGCAATATTTACAGTTAGTATTGATAGTTACGGTGGTTGCTTGGCTAATCCTGGATTCAATCTCGGTCGGCCCATTGGAACGTGGGAAATCTCGTCTCAGTATGCCTAAGTCTCGTGTTACATGAAGGGTGATACTAAAATCATGTCATCAGCCGTGGAGTGTGAAGTTTAAAAAGAAAAGTAATATTTAAGGGAAAATGATTTTTTAGCTTGTTTTTATGGCTTTATATTATCACAACTCTCATTTTCAATAAGCTATGTGGCAAGAAAGTTAGAAACAACTGAAATTGGTACAAATGGGGACAAAAATGCCTAGTCCCCATTAGAATTGGACATTTTGGGGGGGAAAAACTCAATGATTTCTGAGGAAATTTTTAACCAAGGATTTGATCTCAGACCGGCCCAATTTTCGTTCGGAGTTTAAGGTGAGACTGTAACTTAGAGGCCATTATGTTCTGTATAGATGGCTGTTCATCTGTTAAGTGGTATCACTTCATTTAAGAGCAACCAGTGCGGAATGCACGCGTTTACAATGCATTATTAGACACCAGATATACCTAACTCGTCCAGCGCTGAAGGTGCAAGTGTTGCCTGTCCAGAAATACCGTTGACAAATAAACATTGCAAAGCAGCTGCTATCTTGCCTTATTTGAAGGTGAATAATTTATTTCACCATTTCGTGCAAACATAGATAAGAAGCTGGTTAAACCAGCACTAAACGCATTATTCATGGTCATTTTTGCTTCTCTTTCAATATTCAGGGCTGCAGCCGGACAGGAGCGGTTCCACACCATCACCGCCTCTTGCTACCGTGGTGCCATGGGCATCATGCTGGTTTATGACATTTCTAATCCTAAATCTTTTGATACCATTAGGAATTGGCTTCGAAACATCGAAAAAGTGAGACTCTGTTTCGATCCATTTTAATTCAGATTGAAGAAGATCCATTCTATAGTCAAAGGATATCTCCAGACTCGTAGTAAAAGATTTTTTCATTCTTAATCATAAAAATTTTGCTAAGGTAAACCGTAACTGGCAAAGGTTAATTTAACCCTTAAATGCATGATGTAGCAAATATGCTACATACCAAATAAACATTTTTAGAATGCACAGGTTGCGAGCTCCTGAGGTAAATCTGTTCGTGGCTGATGTGCAACAGTCCTGTCATACCTAGCAACTATGCTGTCGCTAGGTGTCATACACTCCTGGTGGCAATCAAATTAAAACCAATCTGGCTTCGTCGTAAGGCAGATTGACGTTTCTGACTTTTTAAATCTAATTTTCTTTTTAATCCAGGGTTCAGGCTCATCCGTTTGTTTACATTTTCTTTTGTTTTGAGGTATGTACGAATGTTGACGGACCGACTGAGCACTCTAGCATCCCTGCAGCTTGGGTTAAAAAGCTGAAAATGCAGATTAGCAAATGAGCAGCGAAAACATTTTCGGGCCTACTGCTTACAAATTTGATATAAAATGGTTTTTTTTTCCCATTTGATCCGTGTTTTAGGACGTGAGTGAAACCTACCAGATTTTTTTTGCCGAAAAAGAGAAAATCATGCATTAAAGGAATAACTGAATTCCGTGCATTTTCCTGCCGGTCTTAGGACCCCTAGACATAGATCAATATATCATGATATATATGGCAATTGAGTGCTAAGACATAAATCAACATTGTGGCACTTACATGTTGTCAGTAATCGATTTCCTAGCTTGCTAAGTAAAGAAATATAATTAAAAATATAAATAAAAAAGAAGAAAATAGAGCCTAATCTTTATCTGCGCTCCAGTGATAATTAAGTAAAAATGGCTAATAAATTTCAGCCCACTTTGCATGTTGTACTTCGTATGCAAGGCCCCACAGGCTTTCTATTTCATGTGCACCAATTACCACGCCCATGACTGGAAATTTTGCCTCAAGTTATTTCCATTAATCCAATTGAAGCTTTTGTCTCTGTACCATTTCAGCATGAAAATATTGATATTGAGATAATTATCTTGGGGAACAATTGCCACAAGGAAGCCCTGCGAATGGTTCCTCGAGAAGAAGGAGAAGCTGTGAGTTTTCATTCCTTTAAGTTTCCTCAATGGTTTCAGACCAGAATTATGAAAGGAAGTCTTCATTTCACGTCTTAACCTGAGATCTGATTCACCTGAGATTTGAATCCTGGGCTCTATCGCGTATGCAACTCAAATCTCGAAAGGAAAACTCCCAACTTGCAAATAGAAACAATTCATCTGCGAGAAGTTGCTGCTAACTTCGCCACACACACCAGAGAAGGAATATAATTCGATTTCTGTCTTGTTAACATGTACAGGGTGGTGCAAAAGTCGCGCACCATAGGAGATTTCACCATTGCACTGCATTAATTCTTGTTTCTTTGGGGGTACGTGATGGCTGAAAAATTAACAAAAGACGAGAGGGTTGAGTTAAGACATCTTCAAACGTCATGTGTGCAGCGAATCGAAGTGTTTTCAAGCAAATGGCACACTAGTAGAACGTTTAATGTAATTTACCCAATGTTGTACGACTTTTGCGCCACACTGTATAATTCGAGTATCTCACAGATCCTCAAACGGCTTTGTTCACAATTGAAGATCAAGCAACCAAAGATTTCGATTATTCCAATTCAGGCGGAAATTTCCCCAAACTTAAGGGAAAGTTGGTTTTTAATGCGAATCCTGCGATTAAGCAAGTCCGAATTCATGAAATGTATTTCTTGGCATTCAAGTCAGGTGTGAGCCAATTTATGGCAGTCAATATGCAACTATCTTTATCGTCTAACGTCTCTGTAAAACTTAATCGCTTAAAACTTAATAACTTAATTATCGTCTCTGATTTTAGCGAAAAAGAGAACTTATCGTTCTCTTCGCCAGAATCAAAAGCTGTTGTGTTCTGTACTTTTTCGTTATCATGCTTCTCATCAGATGATGTTAAGATCCACCGGTTCTTTTTTTAAATGAAGAAAGGTGGTGCAATGATGCACCTCTTTTCTGTCAAATATGCATTTAAACATTTTAAAATAAAACGTACTCGGAAGGTTATTTCGGAAATGTCTCAATAATGGACGGAATGGAATAATGGAATTGTTATGGAATAATAATGAACCAAGAATATTCCATCTTCGCTTCCCCTTCCGCGCAGTTCGCCCGTGCGCATGGGGTCCGCTTCTACGAAACATCAATTGAAGAGAACCTCAACATCGACGAAGCCCTTCTGGATCTGGCTGAAGCAATCCTGAACAAGACCTTGAGCCGGGAGCGAAGTGAACCACAGGACAGGGTTCGCCAAACGAAAGAAAATACGACACTATGCTGCATATGCTTCTGAATCTCTTACCTTTTTCGCGTTGAGGACGATCTCGGAATTCTCTCACACAACAATGAGCAGCAATTCGAAAAAAGCACAAAGCTCAAAATGCACATCTTGCGTTGCACATTAAGGTTCTCAATTGTTCAAGTAAGGACATTGATTGCTTCTTGTTTCTGTTTCCTACATGAAGCATGTGAACTGCGAACGTGTAGCATGTGAACGTCGTGCATGAACTTCATTCCTTATCCACTGCTTATATTTTCTGCCTTTGCCACTTGCTTTGCCGTTTCGATGCAAAATAGCATCACCTTTGCATGAATTTTGCCAATCAATGTGTTGAGATGATATAATAAGAACATATTCAACATGGACATATATCTGCATGGCATTATTGACTTATGAACGTGACATTCGTCAAATTAATGTGGATGCGTTTGGCATCAAGGATATAATAATGACATAAAACTTATCCGAATACGGAAGAGGCTTGCTAAATTACTAAGAGGCTAAATTACAGAGAGAGAGAGAGAGAGAGAGACCCACAATCAGTTGACAGAGCCACACAAGTGTCAAGGGAGCCTGGAGACCAACTGCCGCGGTGGCTGGAAGGAATTGCAAATCCCGCGAATTTACAATCTACAAATGAAGGCGGGCAGAGGTAAATGTGCTATTTCGAAATCAATACCAATACCTGCTGTCGTTTTCTCCTGCAAGGAGACAGCTGACGATCTCGCCAATTTTAACTCCTCGGTATTTATTCTTGGTATCTCCATTCCTGCAATGTCTCAAGGCCACGGAGAGGCGATTTCCCGCTCCACCCAGAATTATGATTTTTCCTCCGAAAAAGTTATGATAGTTCAATCTTCATCGCATTCACGATGTGTGGTCATGATTACCAGGTGCGACAACATGATGTCGTGCCATGTAAATTCATTGACGCTCGTAAACAGCTGTGTCATCTCATGATGTTATATAACATTCTGATAGCATCCTGACATGACATTAATTATATATAAAATTCCTATCTTGTTACTATAAGGGTTGTACCAATACTTCGGCAACCCTGTGATTGCACCATCGGCGGTATCTAGTCAAAATTATTTCCATTGCGGTTCCAGGCGATAACTTATTCGTCCACTCAAGTTTTAATTGTGGGATCATTTCGTGGACCAACCTTGCATAACCGGTACAGGCCCAATTAATATCGATGATAAAGAAGTCAGTGTGACGCATGATGGATGATGACAAATTATATGGTGATGAACAAAAATTTCTCGGATTGAATGCCGAAAGGCCATGTTTGTACGGGTGAAGCTAGGATATTTATTTTGGCCTTGAAAGGCGTTATCATGTCATTCAGGGAAAATTTTACACTTTTTCTAACAAAACAAACTCAGCGAAAATCGTCTAGAAAAGAATGAGCCAATGGAACATTTTCTTTTTTTTTCCACAGGTCAGAATAGGTTTTTCAAAGAGAAAGGTCGTGAAGTCGTGAATGAAAGGCCCATGCAAAGGTCACTGGGATAAATCGCGAAACGCGGGGAAAAGGCCCGAACTTTCTTCTTTTTCTCCACGAAGAATTTGCGAAGAAATTTCTCGCATCAGCAAGCGGCTACGAAGCCGGATGAGCCCCGCGAGCTCGCCCTGTCACCTGTTGAAAAAATTTGCAAAAATTAAAAAAAGCTACCTCAGCCGATTTGCTTGATTTATTTTGAAGGAAGTTAATTTGAGAATGATTCCAGACTTACTTGAACCCTCGCCCGGTGCCCCCGCCCCGATCCCTCACCGCTGGTCCTCATCGCGTGCCTGGCAAGAGCGTCTGGCAATGCTGAAAGACACATGTAAATGATCGCTCGAAAAACATCGTTCACATCGGGTTTAATGCAATATAATGCGTGCCGGGGACATTTAAACCGTGCAACGAACCCAACGAACGAGTTCATCGAGTTTTCGTACCGAACTTTTTCTCCCACATTCTCATTGGAGCCATACGACATTGGTGCGAGTCCCCTTTTTCTCTCATTCATTTTTTTCAGGCACAAATATTCACGCAGCGCAATCGTTAGTGAACATGTCGCCCACCTTTCATGAGCTTCATGTTGGCTGATGGTATCAACCCTGAAAACAGATTTCAGACATTCGGTTCGCTTTAAACTGAACCCCCCCCCCCCCCCCCCCCCCCCCCCCCCCCCCCCCTTTCCCTTCCTCCGAATGCCTTGGTGTGTTGCTGACATTCTTTTTTTTATATTTCATTTATCTTATTGCGGTATTTTTTTCTTCCTGGCGTGCCTCAGCAGCAGTTTGTATTCGGAAAGTAACTCCGGAAAATGAAAATTCGCGGTAATCGGGTGCAATTTCGGGAAAGCAGCCAGTAAACTCAACCGTATCATATCTTTCAGAAAACGTTGAACGAGGAAATTCCCAATTCCCAAAGCTAGTCAAGAATTCCCATGCTTCGAATGGCCAAATTACTGATCGAGTCTTTCCGCATTGCGAGATGGAGGAGTTCTGATTTTTCCCTGATTTCGTGAAAATAACCTCTCTTTTTTTTTTAACTCATAACCGTGTTCGATAAATTAAATGCCGCAAGAAAAAGCCTCATTTAATGGTGTAATGGTGGTGGTAATACGATGTTCCCTTTCGTCTGTTGGTGAGAGGCACTCTTCAAGTCGACAGGCAAAATATGATCATGATTAGTCGTAGCCCCCCTCCCATCCCCCCACCCCCCCCACCCCCGCCCCCCCCCCACCCCCCCCCCCCCCCCCTCCCATGAGGAACCGCCTTCGCGTTCTTTGCCTCCTGAGGGGGCCTACTTCCAACCACTTCAATCCCCGCGAGGTGCTTCGGAATGCGATAAGATTTCCCCCCTTGAAATGATTGGCAGGCCGACACAACTTTTTCCGGGTCGCATTTTCCGGGTGCTTGCGCATGTTTTCCGGTTCGTATTTTCCGCGTTTCACTTAAAATCTCGAATCCCTCCACATTCCCGTCCTTGAAGTCCCCACAAGGAGGAAAAAGGTTTTGCGAATCTCATTCCTCAAACCCGTCATCGTGTCTGAGGGACACCAAAAAAAAAAAATATACAGTGGATTCCGCTTTATTGGGACACGCTGGTTCCAGGTCGATTTGCCCCAATTAAGCGGCTACCCCAATAAAGCGAACTTACCTCATAGTATAGTAAGAAACTCAGACAAGAACGTCCTTTACTTGTGCAAAAACAAAAATTACCACTCAAGAAATGTTCTCATAGTGGCTTGTTTCGTACCCAAAAAAGCTTCTCTAAAGTACCAATGCGAAGAGCACCGTGCTCGCTATCATCCAAACCATGCTCAATAAAGCCTGAAGGATGCCCACTGAACGCTCTTGCGTGGCCTCTTAGGTGAAGTCTCGTGCTCCTCGTCTGTGACGTTCTCTTAGCAAGGCCTCTTGGCAACGATGGCCGAGACCATATCGTCCTCAAAGTCATCGTGTTCGGCGAAGCACTGTGCGTTTTCGTCGATGTTGACGTCGGCTCCTCTGTTAGTGACAATAATGGTCAGACCCCCGTCGTTGGCTGACGCTGGCACCTCTGGACCGAAATAAAAGCCAGATCCACGGAAGCGGTTTGCGATGGTCTCTGCCTTAACACTCGGCCAGCTCTTAACCACAAAAGACACGGCGAAGAGGAGCGAGGGAGTGTGCGAAAAAATCAATCTGGGACCGACAGCATAAGTTAATCTCGACTTTGCCCCGATAAAGCGGATTTCAGTCCCGAATATACGGCGAAAGTTAAATGCACTTGCATAGAAATGGTTCGTTCCAGACAAAATGTCCCGATAAACCGGCTGCCCCCATTAAACGATGGCCCAATAAAGCGGAATCCACTGCATATAAATGTATTTGAAGGGGCGGAAACTCACCCAGTCGGGTCCCGCGAGCGTTACTGATATACGCCAGGTAGAAGAGATCCACGCCCCCCTCGACGAAGACCTGGAACTGCACCCAGGCGTGTCCCCCCATGACGGTGACCCCCGTGAACTCCTCGACCGGCTGGTCGAACGTCGCCAGGAGGCCCGCCGGGCTGTCCCCGCTCTCGAAGTAGTCCTTGTACCCTTGCCCGATCTGGAGCCGGGCCTCCCCCGGCGCGAAGTAGAAGGTGGTCGGCGCGAGCAGGAAGGTCATGTTCACCGCCCCGCTCGGGAACACGTTCCAGAGGCATTTCTGCAAGGCGGTTGAGGTTGAGGTTAAGGTTAAGGTTAAGGTTAAGGTTAAGGTTAAGGTTAAGGTTAAGGTTAAGGTTAAGGTCGGTTTTCGACGGGTCGACTCGGTGGTGGAAATGCGACAGATTGGATTTCTCTATTATATCTCCTGCAGGTGGGAACAACAATCTTCGCTGGGAAAAAGCTATACAGGGTGACACAAAAGTTCTGTACACTCGGTTATCTCAACTTTTTATAACCATTTTTAAAGAACTCACAAATGGGGACAACGCTATTAGAAACTACAACCATTTCAACAGATAATGCCCGCAAATTCATTCAAAATGACCACCTTTTGCTGTAACACAATCGCGAAGTCTCTTTCGGAATGCATCGACTGCGGCACGCAGGGTTTCCTGGGGGATTTTGATCCATTCCGTTTGAAGGGCACGCTTCAGGGATTCGAGAGATGCATGGGGAGTAGCACAGGCTTTGCTCTCCAAGATGCTCCACACGCAAAAGTCCAATGGGTTCAGGTCTGGACTATAAGGAGGCCATTCTGCCGAGGTGATGAAGTCAGGGAATTCTTTTCTGCAGAAGGCCTGAGTGATTTTTGCCTTGTGGGCTGGCGCAGAGTCCTGTTGGAAAGTCCATTTGCGGTTTCCGAAGTGCTTTTTGGCCCAGGGCATTACAGTATCCTCCANAATCCCCTAAGTCGCGCGTACCTTAAGCTACGTGTAGAAACCAAGCCAAGCATATATGAACGTGGTAGCTTAGAATCGAGAACAGTTTTTTAAAGTGTACAGAACTTTTGTGTCACCCTGTATTTACTTTAAATGCCGTTTCCAGACTTAAATGGTATGCAGATGATGCGACGACCGATAGCGTAGGGGTTGGATATTTTTCTTATTCGGGATGGTGCGGTCAAAGGTTCAAATTGCTTCCTTATCATTCTCTACGTTTTACAAGAACGATTGGAACTCTCGATTTCTTCACAACCTATGATCTTACAGAGAATTCCTAAAACTATCGATAGCAGATCCACGTACTTGTATACTTGCACCATTGAGCTACTCTGCCCCATGGCTATGTAAATAATGGGAAATCAAGCTCCGATGTGGACTCACCGCGCCGTTGGGAACCATTTCCATTTCGTCTCTGCAAGGATGAAGGAAGCTGGAGAATTCTGTCCGGTTTTCTCGGCAATCTTCGCACTCCATCGCCCGAATCCCGAACTCCGCCGTTCCCTCGTCCCATTCAATCGGAAACACTGCAATTACGATATATCCAGGAAGTCTTCGAGCTTAACTTTTAAAGCAGACTGAGGTAAGTCACGGCCGGATAGTCCACTGACTCACCTGCGCCGAAGAGCAGAGAAACGCAGACGAAGCGGAAGACGCCTGTGGACCCCATCTGCCTCAGAGAGCTGTGGACCGTTGCGCACTCCAGCCAGCCGGACCGCTCGCGCTCGACTGCGCCATCCACTCGCTCCTTCAAGGTCTAGACCGTCTCCCTCTGCATTGCTCTACGTGCAGCCCTTCACGTCGCGCCCTTCGACGTCTAGTGCCGGCGCGCTCAAAGTATGACCCATGAGAGGACTGGCGGAGTCTAACGATAAAACAAACTCTTCAATGTTCTCATGATTCTCAGAAATAGATAATTAAGTCTGCGGCGGAGAATCGTGACAATTACCTTGTTTCGCTAACGAGGTCTCGAAACTGGAGACTTCCAGAGACTTGCACGAATCATGAATTAAGGGAGTTCACGGTTGATTTTGCCTCGCTGCTGAGTTTGCTGCTGTTTCCCCCCTCCCCCCTTTTAGTGCGAGAGTCGATTAGACGGATGTTACCAATTTCGCTTAGAAATGCCAGAGGCGAAGAGCCAGCACAAGATGGGTTAAAGTGAAAGGGTAAGCACGATCAAGCCCTCTGGCCGAATACATTTCTTTATCCTTTTATCGCCAGCTCTACGACTCTGGCCCTATGAGGTTTAATACAGGAAGTAGTCCATGCTGATAAGACTTCCCACTCTCGCACCGAGAAGGATCGCGTCTGCCTCCACTGCGACCTCTTCTTCGCTTGCCTCCGCCTCCCGTCTGCTGACTGGACCGGCCACACGGCCCCATCCACCACAGGGATTCGGGCCCCATTCACCGCCTTCCTTCTCTCGCGCTTGCGCCTTGAGAAGCGGCCGGACCCGTTTCCTTTTCCCAAGATCGCCCGGTCGAAACTTCTAGCAAGATCCGCCCTGTGTTGCATATCGAATCAAAGGAGACAAAGCGATCTTTCCGCCGATGTCAAAGTCGCTGTGATTGTGGTGCGGGATTCCGAGCAACGAAGGGAAAAAAAGAGCTCTCTCCGCCAAAATGTTCACGAAAGTGATCATTGTGGGTTTTTTTTTTGTTCTTTTTCGTTTGAAAATGGGATATCTCAGAGGAAACCTGGAAATATCAATTTGTGCAGGTTTTAGAGAAAGGACTTTCAAAGAATAGGATGCATTCATTCGTGAAAATGGAAAATCTAATATAGGTTTTGAAGGGGAAATAAAAGATGATTAATCAGTTTCCAATCAATTACACGAATAGTATTAGTTCACCGTCGATTCATACCACTTATTTTGAGGCGTGAAATATTCATAATTTCATCTGCTCCATCACCTTATACACGATATTCCTTCAGAGAAACAATGAAGTAAAAACATTTGTTTTAACGTATAAGTTTTTATATATTTTATTATATGTTATATATTTTATTATATGTTATATATTTTATTATTTTTTCTTATCTGGAGGAAAAGTGGTTTATTGCTTCTACTGAAGAATTTGATGTCTGCACTCAGTCGATGGGTCGTGAGTTCCACGAGCATGATTCAATAACTATTATTTCTGTTATTAACTATGAGGGCACATATCGGAGCTTCTGATTAGAAGAGCACTGGTTCCCGCCTTTTCCGAACGAAGAGGTTCATGGTAGAGTTCTACACCGGTCGGTTTTCACCAACGCAGTCTGAGAGGACCGCAGGTGGTCCATAACCAGAATGCCTGACGAACCTGATGCTCCCAATTGGTCCAAAGTGAACCCGTGCCGAGTACTATTGCCGCCACAACAAATCTAGCGGGGCCAAGTAGAGAAACTTTCATTTTCGTACATCATTTCCGTGTGGAGACGAGCTGCGGTCTTCATCCCAAATGCAATACGGATACACATTTTTAGTGTCTCGGATCAGAGGCTATTTAAAAAAAAGTTTGATGGGTCAATGTTCGTCTGACCCGATCCTTGGAGATATCTTTTGCTGAGAAAATGTTCTGGAAGTCAAGCGGTTAGCTCATTTGTGACATTTTGGCACCCGTGAAGGCCTCTATCCATTATGATCCTCTGTCGACTGCTCGAGACATTCGGATGCCATGCCGCCTGCCTCAGTCTGAGCAATCGGGTCTTTTCAGGAAGTGAAGATCAGCGAAGCGTGTGACGGGTTTTTGTCCGAGTCTTTTCACGGTTTGCAGCAGGCCTACTTTTGAGAACTAACCTTGGTTCGGCAGTCTACGAAGATGGAAAGTTTTCTTAAGTTCGGCGGGAGGACGAAAACGTCGAGTAGTGCAAACGGTGGTTCCAAAGGTGAGAAGTTTGGCTGACCATAACGTCAGGCCTATGATATTCTCTAAACTAGGACTTTGGAGGAGATAGAGGGAAAAACTCAGCCTAATACTAAGCGTAGGCCTATCATGGCCTTATTTTCACACGGTAAGCACTGTGTCTGACAGGGAATGAAGTATGCATTCCCGATAAGATTCATATGATATAAAACACTCCTAGTGCTAGGCAGATGAATCATGCATGAGGCTTTCAACTTCATGTTATTTTTGGGACTGGCTTGGATTGAGGGGTTTTCATCTCTGAGTTCTAACGTTCGGTCCCCCATTTCACCGCCTTTCCTGCAATTGCACCCTATTTCACTCCCATCTTCTAAGGCCTAACTTCCAGGAGCATGTAAACAGGATGCAAACTTGATTTGTGAAACCAGAGTGATTATATTACACTCAGAGGACCCTAGCTCTATATGCTCTATCTGATACCTTGCCCACTCTCAGTCAAGAAAAGCATGCAGAATAGAGTATTGTACGGGATAGAGTACCATAGTGGACCACCTTTGCAGTCATATTTGGGTGTGATATGCTGCATGTAGGCATGGCGTACTTGACCACATGCCATGGAACTCGGACATGAAGGTGTGTGGTAAGAACAGAAATCACCCCTTTTAGTTAGATGCATCTGTTTTCTATGGCATTCTTCACATGGGGTCTATGCAGACACAAGGTAAAGTACTATATATATATATATCTGCTGCTATTAAGTATCTTTAATATGTTGATGTTTTTATGCATAGGCAGTGCATGCCCATCAAGTAATGATCGTCTGTCCGAACAGCATATAGCACCAACCTAAAAAGGTCATTGAACTAAAAATTGAAGATACAAATTCTCAGTTTAAATGAATTTATCTGCATATGGCCATGCTGTACTCTGTCAAACATCCAAGGAAACATTTTAAAATGGCAATAGATCATGTAGTGAACAATGCTGACAGTTGGTACAATCCCATACGGAAAAATTATACTCAGGAGTATATGATTATATAAGAAATGGGCATATATGATATATGGGACATATATGGTCTATCATATAAGTTAATATATGAACATATATGGTAAAGTATATCTGATCATATCTTGTTATTGAAACAATGAGTATATGATCATATATGGCAAGGCCATATGAGAATTTTATAAAAAGCATGTATGTAAAAGATATGGAGAGGCTGATAGGAAACATGTATGACTTAATATGTTTGTCTAGTATATGGTGAGGCATATATGTCACACCTGATGAGATATATGACAAAATCAGGTAAGAAACATACATGAAATCATGACACTCTTGCAAGTCTCTCCCAAACATAAAAAATGACTTCAGGAACTAAGTTGAGAATAGGCACTTCATCTGTTACTTCTGTGAAAATACAAAAACCATTCACTAATAAACTGAAAATGAAACATGTTGGAATAAGTGGACAAAATGTTCATTTTAATTCCAAGTTATATGAAGTTTTCTCATTCAGATGTCAATTTGTACTAGCAATCAAGGAAAATCACAGCAGTTTCTTCTTCGGGTTTATGCCAATTCAGAATTGGCTTACTGATCATGAGCTTCATCTGGAATGCCACCTGACCTCTTCCTCTTTCCCCATAGCTCTGCCATCTTTTGATTTAGACCTGACACTATATCAGACACCTTGGCATCTGGGAATTTTGAAAGCACAGTTGCTGCAATGGAGCATGGATTTCATGGATTAATAGAAGCCTCCATTTGACAACAATTTAAATATCTGTTTAGCTGCTCATTCATTGAAAAATGAAGCAGCCAAGGAATAGCAAGAAACAGCAAGCACACTCACTCTTGATGACTTCTGGTATTTCTGGGTCTAGCCCAGCTCATTGTGGCAATATTCCTCTTTTTGGCACTCCTCCTTTCACATTGGATTTTACCAGAATTTCTTCAGGAATGAGTGAAGTAAGCAAAGTGCAAGCCATCACATTTGGATTCACAGCACATTTGGCTTGTTGAAGCAAATAATAGAGAATTTTTATGTTTCCATGCAAAGTGACCTGCAATGGAAATAGTGAAATATTAAACCATATAATCTCCAAATGGAAAGTTCTTGGTGTAGAAATAGGGTATGGAGAAAGGACTGCTCATTCAAAAATGTTCACTGTACTGAGAAGGGAAGCAGTAAACATTAAGCTGTATTCTGTGATTGTGACAGCAAATTTATTCAGTCTTGTGATTGAGATACAGCATAGTTTTCATGAAAGTTGGTCCAATTTCTAACAAATGAAAACCAGAGCTAACCATGATACAAATGGAAAGTTAAGCTTATTTCCCAAGGATCTCATGAATCATGCAGAGCTTCCAACAGGGTGCAATCGCTTGCTAGCGATCAGCATCCAGTGCGGACCACGCGTGTGGAACGTGAGATGGTAGCTCTGATTCGCATTTTGATTCCCATTACGAAGTACGCATTTTTTTCGTAAAAATGTGCACTTCATACTGGGAATTCTAGTAAGACTGGCCCGATTTCATAGGAGCCTAAAGCTTGAGTGTGTCATATTTATTTTGAAGTCCTACAGTTTCATAAGCGCACAGGATATTAATTCATGGAGCTGTTCAAAACATGCTATAAGTAATCAAGTTATGTCTACCTTACTTCATAAAGAATTGCTTGCAAGCTGTTATGCAGGATTAAAACCACCATTGAAAAGAGCAGCGAAACCTTTCCAGTACAACACATGTAGTACTTGTCAAATATGTATGGAAAAGTCACAAAGTAATTGTTTTTCATATCATATGGCCATACCATCTAAATTATATATCCCATATGTATATGGTACAGTATATACATTTCCAATAATACATTTTTTTAAATGAAAGCATGCATGCTGAACAAGTATTCACAATATATGAAAGTTCTTCATAAAAACCATATATTTAAACTAGATGTATCATATATGCAGGAGCCCATCCCTTGAATCACATAATTATTTTATACAGAACATATATGCTGCCCAACTATGTTTAATATATGAACATTCCTTACATGGATCATATGCTTCAACCATATATGCTCTCATATATGTGTGCCCCTATTTCAATGCATAAAAAATATATGAATTTATAAGGCACAGAAAATTTCATATATCTGCCATATATGATCTTTCCGTATGGGATCAGCAAATTCTGGTGCTGTGGAGTTTGGGTCTTATGATTTCTTTGAATGGGAGATGGAATTTCAGAAGAACAAATCAACTGTGAAGGCTCAAGAATCAATGCAGCATGGCTACCATTTCTGCTCTGAGTTTCTGGATGCCATATCCTTGCATTTGAGGGACTGTCTCGGTGAAGAGAATCAAGGATTGGGGTTTGCTCATATTCATCTCTTTGCTGACTTTTCTTAAGCTGTTGGCCATTGATCTCAAGTATAATGCTGAGACAGTGGTCTTGACTAAAATTCTTTTTAAAAAGCAGATGAGGAAAAGGCCATGTTTTCCAGGTGAAGCCGATGCAATGGACACTTCAGCTGGACCATCGGGAGACATTGGGAAGGCTCATGGCCGTGGTCCAATTCCCTGGGTGGAGAAATAGTGAGTTTGAAGGAGCTTCAATGTAGGAAAAAGGGCCCCTAAATGGAGATTCAGGCAATTCTTGAGACGTCTGTCAAATCTTTGATGTTTTATCTGAAGTTAATTTGAAAAGTATTTGGCTTTGTCTCGGTGTTTCATGATTCAGTGGCACACTTCTGGCAAGGATATGTGGATTGAAGACTGTGTATCGTGTTCATTGGTACAAGTTATTTCATGGTGTCAGAAGGGGATTGAATCAGCTCCCAGATCTAAATACGGAATGCATGCGCAATTCAGGGCAGTTGTATTTTCAGAGTGAGGGAACTATTCCCACGATTGTATGCTGCCATTCTCTGCCGTAGATGGTGGAATGTACTGTTGTATCTACTCAAAATTAAAAACTTTTCTTGGAAATGATATGGAGGTTCCATCGTGTTTATTGTATAGTGTTGCTGCTAAGGGCCCTTGTTCTTTCATTGCAGGTCTCTCTGACCGTCTCTATAAGTTTTTGCGTATGAGTGTCATTTTGAGAATTCTCTACCATTAATGTCTTGCACTCAGCCAGTTGCATTCTAGATGAAAATAAAAACATTATGGATATTTTATGATATCTTCTATTTTTCCTAAAGTTAAAATGAAGTGCTTATTTTTTCCATCTGAGAAAATTTGAGAAAATGGTATTTAAATTCTGTTCAGGAAACTATATATTTTTTTGGAAGTCCAAATTATATTGACTTGTCCTTGAAATTCATAGTCTTGTTCGTAATTTAGGTGGAAAAGCATGTTGTGTGACTATGACAAGCGTTGAAAATACTTTCATTTTCTTAGCCGACCCAGGAACATCGAAGAAGTTGCTTACCAAGATGAAGTCATAGCAGTGCTGAGGAAGACAATGCAGGGGTCTGATGTAAGTTCAGGTGGTCCTTCCATTTGTCATATTGGCCCTTCTAATGCAATTTTGTTTTCTTTTAATCGCATCCATAATGGAGTTCTATGAAGAAATGTCATGCAAGATGTAAGGATTATGTCTTTGGGGCAAGAAGGGCTAAAAGTAATCCAGTTTGTGTATTTATATTTCTTGTAAACCCTAGGTATGTAGCAAATTGGATACTTGCAATAGTATGATCATCTGGAGAAGGAAAAGTCATGACAAAGCAGGAAAATTGCACTAAGAGGGTTCTGCAGGTGGTGATTAGTTATTTGATGGACTCAAGGTAGGTGGCTGTATAAGTTCTTTATGAAAATGGAAATTACTCAAGAGAGGCCCTCAGAATAATCTAATTCGTTCAGTATCCAAGAGACTGGTATTCCACTTCTCTCAATGTTTATTGCCATGAGTTTCATAATGACTGGGATGGATTCCTTAAAGCAGATCCCAAGCATAGTAGTAGATGTTAGAGCGAACCTTCTCACCACTTACTGTGTCTCACAGTTAGTGGAGGTACCTAGAAATTTGCTCATCGTGTCACATTTTTACATGCCTCTGTCCTGTTTTGTTACAGCTGCCCAATCTTCTCTTTTATGGGCCACCTGGAACAGGAAAGACATCCACCATCTTGGCTGCTGCGCATCAGCTGTTTGGGGAACATTTTTCAGCACGAGTTTTGGAACTAAATGCATCTGATGAGAGAGGTATTCAAGTTATCAGGGAGAAGGTGAAGAATTTTGCTCAACTCACTGTCAGTACCTCAGCAAAAAAGGAGTGAGTGCAGATATTTTTTTGCCAGTATATTTGCAATGTCTATTAACAGGTCTTCTGCTCTTTTGCCCTTTCAACAGAAAGGACTATTCCTGTCACATGGATTCATGTGCTGGGATTCGTAAGGCTTGTTTTAAAATTATTGTTTTAAAAAATCCTAATGCAGTGGGAAGCCTATCCCTCCATGGAAGTTAGTGATTTTGGATGAAGCAGACTCCATGACCAACGCTGCCCAATCTGCTCTTCGTCGAACCATGGAGAAGGAGACGAGAAGCACTCGTTTTTGCCTCATCTGCAATTACATAAGCCGGATCATCGAGCCTCTCACGTCCCGTTGTTCAAAGTTCCGCTTCAAGCCCTTGTGTGAGTTCAACTTCCTGTTTCCTTCTGACATGATATTGTCTAATGCTTGCATTCCTACCTTTCATGCTTGCACATTGTCTCTGGTGGCAAAGTCAAGATACGGATGCATCAGGAAGTCATAATAAGGTGTCATCATAAGTTAGTCAGAATCAAACCAGATTTCCAAAATGAGATATCTCTGCCATGATATCCTCATGGGATATTTTTTATTGCACTTCCCAATTGATCTCATGGGACCTATTGGTAGAAGCACCTTAGACTTTCTACTCTTCAAGGTGGTGGATTTGGTTTTGTTTTATTGCTGTATCAGTTATGTTGTACCAAAGAGTTATTCCCAAATTTTGTGTTTGTTGAAATAACATGTGGCAGGGGGAGTGATATGGTAGGAATATTGATGTCACACAACTCTGGTGCCCAATAATTCTCCTTGAACTCCTAAGCTAAATATCCCAAAGTCTGTCTCAACAAATTTAATTTTCTCCTGTCTGGATGCTGTTTTAGCTCAAGACATCGTCATGCAACGCCTGAAGGAGATCTGTGTAAAAGAAAATGTGAGCTATGAAGCAGGAGTGCTGGAGGAACTGCATGGGATGTCAGAGGGAGACTTGAGGAAGGCCATTACCCTGCTCCAGAGTGCAGCCCGCCTTCGTCCTCAGGGCATCGCCACACAGGATGTCAATGAAATATCAGGGGTATGGATCTTGTCTATTGCTGGCAGAATTTCATAACCTCCTTTAGGCCACTAGGTTGAAGGAAATTAATCGAAGAGACCAATCCCCTTCTCACTAGTCCCAGGAAACTTATTTAATAGAAATTTGAATTTGAATCATTTGAGTTTATCAGTCATAGCTCTGTACCCAACAACCTTCATAGGCAGACCGAAATGTTTGTTTCACCTGTACTACAGATATGAAAGTGGTGGTGTTATTGACCTGTTATTTGTATTGATGAATCTCTATCCTTCTGAATACCATCCTGTATGCATTCATTTAGAGGTAGTTGGGTATTGGTTGATTAGCATCCCTCAAAAGCACATTGTTTCTTTGTCTATGGTTCTTATGAATGAATTGCAGTGATATCCAAAACATTCTTTTATTCTCCTCTATTGTGTCTATTCCTCAGACTCTACCCAATTGCCATGATGTCTGGAGCAAATTCTAGAGGTGCTCCAGATCTGGCCTTGCTGTTGAAAAAAACAAAGCTGTAGCTATGCTCTTTGATAAGTTGCAAAGAAAAGTATAAGAATACTCTACTCCCCTGGTTTCCAGAGTCCAGGCATGTGACTTATCTGTAAGTATTAAAAAATTCATCAAAGCATGCCTTCTTGAGGGGAAAAATAATGGTCTCCACAAATTTTTTTCTCATATCTATAATTCTTAGAGGTCTGGATCTTATTTAGTGAGAATGTCCTCTGTGAACCAAGAATGAATCTGTAATAGTTGAAGCTACAGATTAAGGGTGCATATATTTTCATGCATTTTGCTGGGACATTTTATTTCATTCTTTTTTTTTTTTTTAATTCTTAAGCGCCATCTTGTGGCTTGAAGGGCTTATCTTGTAGTGGCATTTTTTCATAAATGAATAAATAAGTTTCCCGAAATGTATGTGCAAGATTTTCTTCCCTTTATTGCATGATGACTTCATCTGTTCTTTCCCCCAACAGTTCATCCCCCCTGAGCTGGTTGAGAAGCTCCTGGCAGCATGCCAGAGCAATTCCTATAGTCGCGTGGAAGACGAAGTCAGCCTCATCCTCCTCGAAGGGTACAGTGCGTTCCAGATGATCCTGCAAGTCCACAACTGGGTTGTGGAATCCCCCTTCAGTGATGCCCAGAAAGCTACAATTTGCTATAAGATTGCTGTGAGTGCACAATATGTTGTACAGTTGTTTATAAGTCTACACAGTTGTCAAAGATTCCTGCTTGCTGTATGCATAGGTTTGCGATTCTCGCCTCGGAGATGGCGCCGACGAATTCCTGCAACTCATGGACCTGTGCTGCACCATCATGAGGGTGGTGTCTGAAGCCGGCTGACCTTCCAAAGCTATCCTTATGAGGGGAATTTTTATTGCCCTTGCAAAAAGTTGTCCCTTTCTTGCAAAGTTGCAAGATATTTCATTTTTTTTTCCTCATCATTGTTGTTGCCTTCGTGATTTTCAATGCAGGCCTTTGCCAGTGCCTTGATCCACCAAGTCTTCCAGATGTAGGCAGGGCCATTCCAGAGTAGCTAGTGAGTCAGTGCAAGGAAAACCGAAGTGTTCTGTCTTAGCATTTTCGAGGATATTCCTCATTTATTTTCATACAGACATTCAGTGAATACAGTAAAACTTTGTCATATGAAGGGGGTGGGGGGCTGGGAATGACTATTCTCTGAGGGGAATTTTTTGTAAGCTGGTAATTTTCCTACACTTTTGGTTTTGTTGCCTGTGATATCTTGTTACAAGACTTTTTGTTCAAATCTCACAACTGTACAAATGCATTGCCATTCACTGGTGTTGCACTTAAACTCCTTGCTTTCATTTTCTAATTACATTCTGACATATTTAGAGTTACATGTTAGAAGCACAAACTTCTTCATGAATTCTTTTCCAAGTTGGGAGATTTTTTAAAGTGAAGGTGGAAAAAAATTGATGAGCCCATGCAGACAGTGCAAAATAAAATTGGACAATAAAGGGTAATTATGGACATTCAGCATGTAATGCAAAACTGGTTACCTATAGAGGGAATTCCATTTTAACTGCATTTCTTATGAATGCACTAACCTGACATGGGGAATTTGTTAGCCTTGGGTTGTCATGAATCCACGTATTGTGTAGGACCAAAGATATGGTGGCCTAGATAGGAGACTAAAAGAAATACTCAATCGTCAGTGGAGACTATGACATTTTTTCACTTCCACCTAATTGATCCGTCTCATTAAGAAAAAGGAAGATTCTAACCTCATTATGGTCATATACCCATGCACACTTAACATGCTTATCTTGGATCTGCAGGTTATTATATGCACCAAACACGTGTCCCTCACTCACACCCATGTTTTCTTCATGTTTCACAATTTTGCACCTCTTTCAGATGATACTGCGTGCAAATGAGGTCACCTAATTTCTACAAATTAAAGAGGGAATTTTTCATCGAATTGGTCCATCTGTTTAGTCTTGCTAAGTAGTTCCAGATCGATCGATGGAACTTAGACGTTTTAGCTGCCAGAGATTGTTTCTTCAGTGAAGACTCAGGAAGAAATTTTCTTCACTTGTAATCAGTGCGGACAATCTTAGTGATCCTGAAGGTCCTAAGAGTCACTCGAAGGTAATCCCAGATGTGTTTCTCATAGTTTCTGATGTTAGCTTTTTATGGTTGTCGCTTGTCCTTGTTACCGACGGATGGCAGTTTTTTGGGTCCTCACTGGGCCATTGTTGTGTTCAGTTCGATTCAGAATAGCGAGGGTCTCCTTTGCAGCACTCCTGCCCATAATTAAAGTAAAAGGCAAGGTATGCATCTCAGATAAAACTTTCGATTTCAGATTTTTAAAGAAACGCATAAACAAAACATGAAAATTCTAAGTCGCTCTGGGGATATTTGTTGGAATCCTCCGAGCAGTGGCACGTCTGGAATCCCGTGAACTTTATTCCATTAACCTAGCTACCCTTTACGCAGCTTCTCGTCATTATCAAAGAAAAGCGAAAGCACTTTTTTTTTTAGAGGTATATAAAAATTCCAATCCAGTTAGGGGAAGAATTTGAGCCTTTTATTGTAATAATATTCATTCATGCGGTGTTTTCAATGCATATCATAAAAACTTCCTTCAAGTGGCAATTTACCTCTTTCCCCTGCTTTGCTGCTAGAAAAAGAATTGGGAAGTTCGTTTTGACTGTTTTACCATTTCGGTCATAAATTGAAGCAGATTCCGCGAATTAGGGTTTATCATTCTCCAGTCACATGGAAAGTAAATAACATTTAATTTATTAACCCGCTTCTCACGTCGTCCACATTCAGTTCGAACTCCTGTCAATTATTATTTTAATGTATAATACAGAGTATATCAGGAAAATGTTGCAATTTTAATGCAATGAAGTCTCAAGACGATTTTCGGGGGACACCGTCGATTCAATTCGCGTTAAGCATAGATCGTAGTACAAGTACTGACGAGACGAACTCTTTCACGTGTCCCAATCGGGACTGATTGTTATTTTTTTTTGTCAGTTCTCCCCAGATTCGAGCGAACCAAGTTGGATTACAACGGTGTTATCCCCATCCCGATTGAATTGCGGCTGGAAATTTCCCGGTTTGAATTTTATGCCGTTCCAGCTGGAATACGGCTGAATTCATCGCTGAAATTCAACGGTTTCCGCGGATTTCCTGGTATATTGCAGCTGGAAACCAGTCGCTTCCCAACTGGTCTGAATTCCCAGCAAGTTTACGTTGAAGTAATGCGTTCAAAGACTGAAAGTCTGTCGACAAGAGAAATTTGGCACGAGTTGGTTATTTCGCGCTTTTTCGCCGACGTCTTTGCATCGTAAAATCAGCTGTAAAATCCCAATTGGTTGAATCGTCTTCACAGGTGAGTCTCCCTCTTCCCCGCGATCCATGATCGAGATAAAATTCCCAGCTTTCAGATTCGCCTCATTTTCACCGCAGGAAATCGCAAAACCGTCCGCTTTCTTTCGAACCCCTGATCTGGGATTATCTCCCCCCATGCATTCGGGGAATTGCCCCTGACCCCGTCCCATTAATCCCCATCCATTAATCCAGCCCATTAATTCGAAGACGCTACTCCGCGGCCGCTTCATTAAGACGTCGTGCGCCGTCATTTTATGAGGAAGGAATGGCTCATTTCCCTCTCGTCAGCCCTGGAGTCTAGCTTCCAATTAACTCCCTTCGAGTTATCTATGTGCTTATTTCTAGCACGGATCACGTGAACCCATGATTATAACGCTGGTCGCTTCTCGTCGAATATTGGTATTGGTATTGTCTAATCGCGAAGTGGAGCAGCGCAGGATAAGACGATGGGATCTCGGCCGGGAAAAAAAAAATAGATAACGTCATCCATTGCGTCACACAGCTGAAAAGCCCCGCCCACTTCCGTTTGCAGTCCTGTTGCTCGTCCGACGAATTTTTAGCTGCGATTATTTTCCTGGAATTTTTTTCGCCGTGAAATTTAGGGAGAATCGCGGTTACACGCGAAAGAATGAGAATATTTAAGAGAAGGGTTGGAATAGTCCAATTTTAGAAAGGATTTTAATCGTAGACGCGTGCCGATTCGGCGCCCATCCGTTCCCAGCTTTTTCAGATGTTTATTCTGAGGCTTATTAAATTAAAAAAAAAGTTCAATTCTTACCTATATGGTCAAAGGTCTCCCTAATCTGGTCAGATGGCATGCGAGAGGTAATATGACTCTATGGAATCGCACTTGCTCGAAGAAACGTTACCCCAGGGAGGGTCGATCTCATTCAACACCATTAGAATAATCTAGCGTGCTCCGTTTTTCTTGGGAGGAAAGGGAATTTCGATGCAGGCAGACATTCTTCTCCTGCCCAAACCTTGAACGCCCGAAAGTCATGAAAGGTTGGATTGCGCGCTTTTGAGGCGATCGGGGAAGTGAACGGATTACTAGGCGTTCAAAGTCTACATTTTAAGTAATGCCATTTCGGTCTGCGTTTCAAATCGAGCGAGTAACTCTGACAGGCCTCAACGTAGATTTGAATCGATTCAAATTATCGATTTGAAAGATAATGAATTTCCAATGACGCAATGTAAATGCAATGTCCATTGGAATGGACGCCAGGTCTGAAAGGGTTAAGAGCGTCGGGGTAAGCAGACATACCGGTGGAATCTGCACTTCACTGTTCCCCACGAAAATCTCTTAAATATTGGCGCAACTGTTTCACACAACATCCTCCAACAGGGTAGCCCGAGCACGAGTGACCGAGTCCTGAGACGCGACGAAACTCAGGTTCGTGGGAAAGATCATCGCGTGGTTAGCAGATCCGGCGGTCAGGGTTAATCCTAGGAGCAGAATAATCCCTGAAAGTGGAAGTTCCGCTCGAGAGCTCTGCTTCTTCACAAGTTTGTCTCCTTCCGACTCTAAGCCTTCTCATTCGAGATGGGATGGCAGGCCGACTAAATTGTAGCTTTCAATCCAGTGATTCAATATTTTCGTCACGAGTGGAAAATGCATGGGGATAGAACATCGCTTTTAATTTCTCTCATTATTTTAAAAATACGTTAAAATCACAGAAGAAGCGCCAGGAAGCAACCACAGAGCGCGAAGGCGAAGGCGGCACAGAGAAGCAAGACGAGGCGCGAGGCCTCGCCACGTTGGGAGGCGCACCGCTCGTCGTCGCCGCGGTGCGCCGCGGTCCATCGGTACGCGGGAACGAGGAGGCTACGATTGCGGACGATGACGATCCACGGGTCCGTCCCGCCGCGGCACGGCCCCGCGAAGCGACCGAGGACGTCCTCGCCTCCCTCGTACCGCGTCGGAGGCAAGGGCATCCGCGTCGCGTTCAGCGAATCCGCCAGCATGCCGGTCACGTAGACGTCCTCGATGGGGAGCGGCTCGGTCCCGCTCGCGATTTCCGCCGCCCTCGCGGCGAAATCCATCGTGACGAAGTACGTCCATCCGGCCATGTAGTCCGGGAAACGTTCGCTGGCGTATTCCGCCTCGGAGACGAACCACTTGCTCGTTTTCTGCCGAATCACAGGTGCGTTCAAGATGATCCGACCGATCACGCAACTTTGGGAACAGTTCACCGTCTTCAGGTAGTCGTAGATGCGGAAGATGTCGAGGAAGGTGTCGTCGTCCACCTTGCCGACGAAGGCGGCCCGGGAGCACCGACGAGAAGCCCAGCTCAAGCCGAGCAGCGTCTTGTAAGTCAAATTCCTGTAGGAATCGAAGAAGTCGGCCTGGACGATGTCGCCGTGTTCTCTCGCCTCTTCGTCCAGGTCCGACTGATTCGCCACGGAAGCATTCGGCCGACCGAGGAGAAACACCAGCCGGACGTCTGGCAACGAATCCGGCTTCCCCCAGGATTCCCGGATGTCCTTCCTCCAAGCGGAACTCTCGGGTCTGGTGAGGACCTCCAGGAGGAGGAAGACGTCGTCCTCGCATCTCCTGGGATCGTGAATGTATCGGAGGGGGAGGTCCCCCAAGAGCATGTTCTCCTCGAATGCATTCGTCTCCGGTGGGGACGGGAGGTCGGTCGGAGTCACCTGGAAGTTTTCGCCCAGTCCCGGTTCGGCCTCCACCGTCCCCAAAGTGGAACTCGTCTCCTGCTTCGAAGTAAAACTCTCCGAAGAGGAACTCGGCTCCTTCGAAGTGAAGCTCGGCTCCTCCGAAGTGGAA